GTGATTATAAATGAAGATGAAGCATGCACATCAAAATTAGTTTCAGAAAGTTGCACTGCTTTCCTCAGTTTCAGATTCATGGAATCCAGTCCAGTTCTGGTTCCTTTTGTTCTTTGTTATAATTGAGTACAAAACATTTTGTTGCTGTGGCTGAAATGGCTATCATACTTTTAGAGAGCCGTGCTGGTGCAGTGGTTAGAATGCAGTGTTGCAGTGTTGCCGGCTGCCAGCAGTTCAGCAGTTTGATTCTCACCGGCTCAAGGTTGAACTCAGCTGGATTTTCTCAGAATGATCTGTTCACAAATTGGTTCTTCAGATCCTGTAATAGTGTAATTGGTGACACTTTATTCATCCACCTTGCTGCTGGCCATCCTTCCCCCCCTCTTTCTTTCCATCTTTCCTTTATAAAATTCTCAAGAGATATTTTTTTTTAAAAAAAGGACTGGATGCAATTAAAAATAATAAAGACTATAGGTCAGAACAGTTGCTTTCATCAACATACTTTTTACACAGAGTCGTCTAGCAGCATCTGCTTAATAGGAGACTTGAAGACAGTAAACCTGATTTCTTTGCACATGAACTCTTTCCAGTATATTAACATTTGGAATGATGTCAGTATTGCATTTATATCCTTTACAGAAACATTATTTTCCCCAAATATATTTGTATAAGTCCCAAGTGTTGTTAATGTAGGAAAAGCAGTTTTATTGTTTGCTTTCTTCCTGGCCAAGTGAAATGGCTATGCCTGTAGCTGTATGCAGAGACAGCTGGGAACAGCTCCTCAAGCAGCTGCTTAAATTTTGCCAATGACACAGATGCTTGAACTGTGTGAAAAGAGGTCCTTTGAGTTGTTGTAAAATTCCTCTTTTGCATGCTAGCATAAGGTTTTTTTTTGTGGCCTTATGCTCCATTTAGAAACATTTTGTCATCCTTTCTCTTTCTCCCCAAAACGTTATGGATTTGCACTCATAATGTGGGGGGTTGCATTTTTTTTTACAAAAAATTATCATGAAAAGCTTAGACAACCTATTAATTAAAGAGACTAGATAGAGATTTGTCTGCAACAAGAACAGAGTAGTTGTTTCCCTAGCCACATAGCTACATTCAGAGCCATCTATTTAATTTGTTGGTTTCTTAGGTTTGTATCCCATTTCTTTTTGGAATTCAAGGGAGCCTTCTCCAAATTTTCCTCACAGCAAAATGTCTGTGAAGTAGGCCGGAATATAGGAATGGCTGAGGAATTCTGGGAGTTGAAGTCCACAAGTCATAGAAGGGCCAAGTTTGAAGACCCCTGTTTTAGGCTAAATGCGGACTTGAATATGAATCTCCTTTGGTTTTACTTTAACTGCTTAGTTTTCGACTCATATATCTGGTTTACTTTGGCCATGTAGTATGTACAAATACATTGAAGAAAGTAATGATGCTAGAATAGTTAGTGGAACAAGAAGAAGGGGCAACTAAAGAACATGCTGGCTTGATAGCATCAAATAAAGCTCAATATACAAATGATTGAAAGATAATAATAATAATAATAATAATAATAATAATAATAATAATAATAATAATAATAATAATAATAATAATAATAATAATAATAATAAAGTTGGAAGGGACCTTGGAGGTCATCTAGTCCAACCCCCTGATCAGGCAGGAAACCCTATACCATTTCGGACAAATGGCTGTCCAGTCTCTTCTTAAAAACTTCCAGTGTTGGAGCATTCACTGCTTCTGGAGGAAAGTTGTTCCACTGGTTAATTGTTCTAACTGTCAGGAAATTTCTCTATAGTTCTAGGTTGCTTCTCTCCTTGATTAGTTTCCACCCATTGCTTCTTGTCCTGCCTTCAGGCACTTTGGAAAATAGCTTGACTCCCTCTTCTTTGTGGCAGCCCCTGAGATATTGGAACCCTGCTATCATGTCACCCCTAATCTCTTCAGCTAACCTCACCCTCTCCAAAATGTATCCCAAGATAAGTTCTACTGCATAAGGTAACTGCTGGAGTATTTGAATGGATGAGAAACGAGCAGAATTTGGGAAAGATGAGCTACTTGTCACTGTCTGAAGAGGTTTGTCCCCTTTAGTAGCAATTAAAATGGGGATAAAGTACACGCGTAGTGAAAGATGTTGGCAAGACACATTGGCTGGATATGATTCTTCCTCTTACAGCTCAAACCTCAATGTTGGTGATACATGGATCTGTGGGTGTGGATTCTCCGTTACTCCAATCCTTAAGATCTCTATACACCTGCTCTAGTTTTATACTAAGATAACAAGAGAAGGATGGCAAACCTAACCCTGATAATAAAGATGATGAGATTTACAAACAAAATAGACAAAACCCATTCACTTGTGCCATGCAGTCAAGGGAGTGATCAGTTTTGGTCTGTTGTTGAGATTGGAAATATAAAGTGGCATCTGTTTAGAGTCTTTTCTCTGAAAAGACGGAAGCAGTTGGAGTTGGACTCAAACAATGGGAGGGAAGGCTTGTTGTTTTGTCCTATTTTTTTCTGATACTCCCCTTCACCTTTCCAATGCAATGCCTCCTTGTATTTTGTCTTCACCTACCTGACTCCAAGTACACTCTTTCTAAATTCACAGTTTAAGTTTCTCCTGTTCTCCTTCCATGGCTGGAGAGCAGAGCAGGCATCTTTAGGTTGAAAGATGTAATCTGCACAGAAGTGCTATTAGGATCAGACAAGCTTTATTTGCCTCCCCAACCCCAACTTCTCATCATCCCTTCCCACCAAGAAACTCCTCAGTCCCATTTCTGTGAGGTTGGGGAGAGGTAGACCTAAAGCCATCTGCTCCCAGTCTTGGAAGAAGCAAAAACCACTTCTGTGTAATCCAACAAAACTTGTTTCACTGAGACCCAATTCCAGCAACCGTTCCTTATATGTTTTAGCCTCCAGTCCCCTAATCATCTTTGTTGCTCTTCTCTGTACTCTTTCTAGAGTCTCAACATCTTTTTTACATCGTGGTGACCAAAACTGGATGCAGTATTCCAAGTGTGGCCTTACCAAGGCATTGTAAAGTAGTATTAATACTTCATGTGATCTTGATTCTATCCCTCTGTTAATGCAGCCCAGCACTGTGTGGGCTTTTTTGGCAGCTGCAGCACACTGCTGGCTCATATTTAAATGATTGTCCACTAAGACTCCGAGGTCTCTCTCACAGTTACTACTATTGAGCAAGGTACCCCTATACTATACCTCTACATTTGGTTTTTCTTGCCTAAATGTAGAACCTTACTTTTTTCACCATTGATTTTCATTTTGTTAGATAGCGCCCAGTGTTCAAATCTGTCCAGATCCTCCTGTATCTTAATGCTGTGCTCGACAGGGTAGCAAGGAGAGCACTTGCCTATAAAGTCACCAAATGTCAGACACAACTAAATGGTTAAAACAATAATTTCTACTCCAGCTGATTTGACCATATTATCCAGGGGTCTTCAAACTTGGCCCTTTTATGACTTGTGGACTTCAACTTCCAGAATTCCTCAGCCAGCCATGCTGGCTGAGGAATTCTGGGAGTTGAAGTCCACAAGTCATAAAAGGGCCAAGTTTGAAGACCCCTGATATAATGATACAAAAAAAACCCTTTGGGATCAATGAGTTAAGAGTTAAGATGAGATAATTGGATTCCCCTGGTTTTATTTCAATTCTGTAAATTACCAGAAGTCTATTCATAAGTACATTCCTAAAAAATTGAGCATGTGTCCTTTTTCAAATTTCATATTCTTTATACTTCAGACTGAAAGTGAAAATAACTTTAACATTTTCCAAATGATGAAATATATTTTCATTGATTGATTTGAGCAAAATATGAAATCCATTCCACAGCATCTGAATCCATTGTAGCTTAAATGCTTATTGAGCTGAAAAAGGCTTTGAATGTTTTGAAATACGGAGATGCACAAACCAAATTTACTGGGTTAATATGAACATTAAGTTACACCAATTGTTTTGGAAAATCAGCCCTAGTTTGTGGGAGCAACATGTGCTTCAACTCTGATTTTTTCCCTCTCTAAACGTATGAAAATTTTATCATTCACTGAACTGTATGAATCCATTATTTTAGTACAGAAAAATGTTCTTTGTAGGAAATTTACAAAAACAATATTAGGCATAGCAGCATATAATTTCCTCTTATATTTCATATATTTATATTTCCCTTATTACATCTAAACAATACTTCTTGATAGATGGATTTTTGTATTTGGGGAAGAAAAAACAATTTGTATGATGTATTTAAAAGATGATGTGTAGGACAACATTGGTATGTGATGGATTTCATCCTGAGATGTTTACTGATAGCAAATTCCAGAATGAGGTTATATTAATCTGTGGTAACATAAATAATGAAACTGTGGTCAATAAAGCATTATCATGTATTTAGGGCTGGCAGTGGGCAGATAGACAATATTACTGTAGGCTGGAACTGAATATTCAAAACACTTTCTGGGCCAGATGAAATTGTAGAATTGCTGTCTTTTGTTTGCATTTAATGGCAAAGTAATGGAAAGAATTTCAGAAACTGTGCAAACTGATCAGTGTTTAAATGGTAGCTGCCATTATATTTTCCAACTGTATCATAAGATAGGATAACTAACCTCTTGGTTGGTCATTTTGTTTACTTCAAAGCAATTTGCCTTGATATGATGATTGGTATAGAATGGATGAGGAATTATCACAACATGAATAAGCCTTTCTAAATACTTATTCTTCTCCAAACATTTGTGGGATTTTGTTCATTGTAGGAACAGTTATCCCTAGTAAGAGTATAAAATCAAATTACTCAGCTTGACAGTGTTCTATTTTCATACAAAACTTAGCATATTTTAGATTCTTTTTAAACTGGAGAAGCAAGACTCTTTAAAACAATTTTTAAAAATGAGTTTGTTTCTTTACAACTGTGAAAGGCTCCTTGACTTTAATAAATTGATTGTTTTAATCAATTTATCAAAAAAAAGTTGCTTGAAATCCTCTTTCTGTTTCTTCTGCAGCACTTCAGGGAACACCTTGACAAACTTTTTGCCAAAGGAATCGGAATGCTGGACATTGCCTTAGTTGAAGCTTTCAATATGCTCAGTGATGTAAGTTCATCAATTTTGCCTTCTCTTTTGTTTCTGATTTCATTATCTGGAACACATTATTGATATTTCTTTTCCATTTTAGAATTTGTATTACTTACGTAATCTGTTTAAATGGACAATGTAGCATTTTTTTTTCTGAATGTAGCAGTATACAATATGCAAAATCTGAAATTCGTTCTTGTGAATTATAGGTCAGTACTCTTATATGAGCATCTGTTGGGTCTCACTTTTAGACTGTCTTTTAGGTTAGAATAAGTAAGCCTCACATTTCCTAGTGTTTTCCAAAGAGCTAGCTGTCCTCATCATTCTCCAAATTGTATTCATAGCTAAGTCTAAATTCTTCCCAACCATTATTTATGCGATTACCACAAGTTTCTCCTGCAGGGTTACAGTATGAATTATATCATGTGACAGATGCAATTACCTCCTTTGCCAATAAAGTTAATTTTTGTTATGATTATATTTTATAAGTCTTAACCAATAATTAAAATTCTGTGACATTTTGAAGAGAATCATAAACAAATGCTCCAAATGTCAGGATGAGCTGAAATTTTCACTGCTAAATAATGAATCACTGAGTTAATTGTAGTTCATCATAAGGTCCCTTATTATTGTTATTATTCTGGAAAAGATGTTAATCATTTCTGTTATTCAATAAAAAGGTTTAAATACACATGAGAAGACATCACCCACCCAAGCTAATATGATTAATATGATTTACAGTAAAATAAATAGATGAAAAGACCCAGTTCCAAACTATTTAATATACTGTTTATTTTTTAAAATCTATAGTTCTTACTTTAGTTTTAAAATAAAGAAGAGTCACTGATGCAAATAGATTTTCTAATTTTATTCATCATATAATAATCTCACTGTTGGCTGGTTTTATCTTGGCAAAGCGAGAATAAAATTTATACATGCCCAGAATGATCAAGATACTATTACTTGTGTCTGCTACACTCTACATATCCCTCCTTCCTTAAATTACCAAACACAAATTATGAATAGCAGAGAGTTGCAATTCTGTATTTTCTCTGAGCAGAAAACTCACCTGATCACCTGCATAGCCTTTACATCAGGGGTCCCCAACTCCCAGGGCGTGGCATGCCAGCAACTGGTCTGCACAAAAAGCAAAGCCACATCCGCAGGATGCAGGCAGCACATAAAACCACGCCCCCTCTTGTCGACAGAAAAATCTCTCTCCACGTAACTGGTCCCTGGTGTCCAAAAGGTTGGGGATCTCTGTTCTACATACATGCATGTATGTTGGTGGCAAGAATAGACATGATGGGAACAATTTTTAAAATGGCATGCTACTAAATTGGAATTTTCAGATTGGGTATACCTATATGGCAGCTTTTTAATGGGACTGCAAATGACATGCTATTAAAATCCTAAATGTGCCACCAGTTCCAAAAGGTTTGCACCTCAACAGTGAAAGAGAATGCAGCGTCTTTTAATCTATTTCTCCCATCATTCTGTTTGTCCCCTTTGTTATTTTCCCATCTTACCTTTAGCAGGTAGAATCTGTTCACTGTTACCTGGTTATCTTTCTAACAAGAAGTCCATTCATGCACTATTGAGTGGAGACCACAGAAAACCTTATCCTGTAAAAGAAAAAAATAGCAAAGAAAACCCTTCCCCTCTGAGCCAAGGAGCACTTAAAATATTAGGAAGCACTATGTGTGTACTGTATGCATGCATGTACATATGTATATATGTATACATAAAAATAAAAAATGGGAGTAAGCCCATAAAGTAAGCAAACTACCTTGATGATGATATGATATGTAAAAATGGTTTTATATTCTCTTTTCATTTTAGATTCTCTCTCCCTCTCACTCGATCATTAAAAATGATTGCTAATATTTTGACATATTTCAAGCAGGGTTGAGGTATATCTTGCCTTGGGGCTTGTAATTTCCAGACTTGACTTTTTGATGGAATGGATGCTTTTCTATAAAATATATTACATATGACACTGTATTGTTTAAAGTATATCATACTCTAAATGTGGAATATGTTTGACTACTATGCTCTATCAAAATAAGAAATGAAATCTTAAAATATACCTTTTCTAGATGGAAATACTCAATGAAGCACAGGTATTTTGTAGCAAAAACTGATTCGCCTAACTAGGTTTGTCAGAAGCCAAATAATGTCATTTTTTTTTGTTTCCTAGTTCAATCACACAGGACAAGGAAGTATCTGCAGTCAAGCCATAATGCTGATTACTGATGGTGCAGTGGATACATATGATGCTATATTTGAAAAATATAATTGGCCGGATAGAAAGGTAATCCTATGTGTATATTCATGAAATAACTGGATCAAATGTTGATCAAGATTTACATTATCTCGGATATTTTGTTATGGATGTATCTATATTGTCAGAAATCGCTCTTTGTAAATGAAATTTTAAAAAAAAGTCTTCTAAGAATGCTTCTATTATTTCATGATTTTTTGCCAAATTGTTTAAAAGTGGAACATTCATTTCTGTACTGGATGAATTTGGTAAAAGGATATGCTCTAGAAAACACATAGGAAGCATTTTGACAGTGGGATATTGAATGGTTGGACACAATACCTTCTGATTTTCAATAGATCAGTTGAAAAATAGAACAATTATTATCCTTCCCCAAGAGGTAGAAAAATGAGCATCACAAAATAGTGTAATAGATAAGAGCGATTTGTTTAAATATGGCGAACATTTATATGAGTTCATTTAAAAATAGCTGGTATAATTTCAATAGTCAAATAATTCATTTATTTATTTATTGCATTTATATCCTGCCACGGTTTCAAAACTGTCTGCAGTGAGATATCATTTGTGCCACCTTGCATATAGAAATACCTGTAAATCAGGATAATATAGAAAAATATGATATAATAATCTGTATGCATGATCAGTTTGGGGCCTACAGAAGTAACTGTTGAGAACTTTGTGGTTCTGCTCTCCTGTTTCTTAATCTCTGAATTGAAATAGGCAGCTCTTCAAGTGGAGGTTATATGTTAAATTAAACACAAGGGGCTCTTAATGTTGAAGCATTTCTCTGTACAACATCTGGGGCCTCATCAGTTACAGAATAGAATTTAATTTCCTTCATGTATGATCTGTGATCACTGAAAAAAAACCAGCTAGGTCGAATGAAACTGAAATGAGTGTGTATGTGCTACTTTTCTATGACTGATTTGTATATCAACTCCTTTGTATGATTAACTACTGAAACAACTTTGCAATGCATTAATGGAAATACATTATGAAGTAATATGAAACAAGTATTGCTTTTCATTGCATGTGTGCTGTGTGGTTAGGCAAGATAGACTCTGCCACTAAATACTTATCTGGTTAATTTATTTTTGTATCAGTCATATTCTCAGATTTTGAGAAAAGAAGTCTACTTATACAGTATAGTAAACATCATAGAATAGAATTACCATTGTTCATATTTGTTTATGGATGAGTCAATAAAACAAAATCTTAAATATCTTAAATATTCCCTTTACTATTGCCAATGGAAACAAATATTTAAAATTTTATGGAACTTTCTTTTAGAGAAACTATGTAGTTGGAAGATAATTTCTTATATCATAATTGGATTTGAGTATTGCAAGAGGAGGTTTGACGAAGTTGAATTATTGTTAATAACTAGAAACTAAAATAGTAGAGTCTGGCTAGTATGAGGACATAACATTCTTGTCTAATAATTATATTGCTATTAAATAATAGAAATATTATTAATATTTAAAACAACCAGGCCAAAAAAAAAAGATCACACATAGAAGTAAATATGTATATATGTTAGTATTTTATCTAATTTGTCAGCCGCCCTGAGTCCGAAAGGAGAAGGGCGGGATATAAATGCAATTAATAAATAAATAAATAAATAAATAAATAAGTAAATGATTTGATTTGGATACCATGTGCTATTTAATTCATCATCTAGTTTGCCCCTCTGTTATATCTGTTTGGGTGCAAAGTTAGATTAGTACATATATTCTGGGCTTTATTGTGCTATGCAGTGCTTCAGATTTGATTCCAAGAGGTACTTTTGAGTGCATGGAAGTGCAAATGAAACACTGGTTTGCATCTCACTAAACCAGTTTCATCTGCTTTATCTTGATTTTCACAAAGCTGTGTATTCTTGGGAAAATTATAGTCTTGACCCCATGTATTCCAAATTGGATCTGCAACACAAGCAGAGTGTACTGTTCATGATCATTCCTTTAACTGTCTTGAACTTGCCAGAAGCTACCTTTATGCTTGAATATAACATGATTAGCTAAATATATTTAATACATACTAGATAAAGACATATCAATTAGCTGATTCCTCTCTGTAAACATGAAGGGGAATAACCTCTCTACAGTTTAAATTTTCATTTCTTCCTGGCTTTTCCCAAGTTTAAATGATAATTTTGATTTGTATCTTTTACTCTTGTACAAAACGTGGCATTATTGGTTATTGACATTAATTGGCATTACTCTCTGAAATGCCCATGTTTTCCCTCATGCATATTTATGGAAACATGCATATTTTGATCTCAGACTGTGCACTGATAATATAATTTGGAGTTCTGATTAGGAAAATAAGACATGACACATTTTTATTTTCCTTAAATGTTAGGGATTTCTCCACATTGCCAGTGGCATAAACATACTGTGGTAGTTGTAGGACTTCAAACACAATCTGGATAATTAAAACTGGCACATTTCTTCATCTGACACCGATGCTCTTGACAGTTATTGGTTTTGTCATTAGAAACTCAATGAAAGCTGTGAGAAGAGACTTCCTAGCTATTTTCTGGTAGAGTATGCAATGAATATATCACAATCCTTTTATGATTCAAACTATATTATTTATATTTACACTTTCCTTTGTTTTTGGTAATACAGCACTTCAAAGTAAAGGTTTGGTTAACATAGTTATATTTAAAATTCTATTAAAAAAACTAAAAAAATGTTTATGAGTTCCCTCACCATAATTAGTATGGTGCTTCATACATGTCATGAATGGGTTGTCCTGTTGCAAGCAGTCAATTCATATGTAAGCATCATGTGAAACCAAGATCTATCGTACATTTACTCAGTTTATCTTTTGCTATTCCATCTGAAATTGATCAGTATGATTAAATAACTTATTTAAAAAGCAATTTAAAATGAGTACTGGGACCAGAGAGACCCAGGTTCAAACCTACATTCAACCATGAAAACTCACAACTCAATTATTATATCCCAGTCTGCAAAAGTTACATTTCTTCTCCTATATAGTAGCTATTATTAAATTAATCAAGGGCACTTTGTCAGATGTGTTTGGCAATCTTTTATGATTAGCAGAACTCTCTTTTTGTCTTTGGGTCTTCCTTTTCCTTAGAAATGTTAATTCGCTGAAGTATTATTTTCTTCTCTGTATAGCAATCCCTGTGCTGACCTTCCATCACTCAGGAATTTGCATACATTCAAACCTCTCCATCTTGAGGGTGAAAGTTCATTCTCCAAGCTTGTGGGTTGGTTTCTTCTTTAGTGGCTTTTAGGGATGTCTGTGTCAGTGCTCTTCTATTTATAAGGGCTTCGGGTGTGGGTGTGTCAAGTGAGGGTCTTGTGATGAGTCATCAGAGAGAGGCTTATGGTGGGTCTTGTGATGGGTAGGTCAAGGTTGTTAGAGGGTGTGAATTATTAGTGGGTCAGGGGTGAGTTAGCAGTGAGAGGCTGGTGATGAGTCTTGTGATAGGGAGATTACTTCAGGTTGGGGTCATTGGAAGTTGAACCGCTGGGGGGAGGGCTTTTGTGGGTTGGTTGAGGTCTGGTGCTGTCTCCAATTAGCTGTGAGATTGATTTGGATTCTGATAGGTTTGTAGGCTGGTTGCAGATCAATGTGTCTGTTGATGGGATTGCTTGTGGAGTATCAGGCTTCGATGAACTCACGAGCGTGGCGGGTGGTAGTGTGGTCAATGATTTTAGTGTTGCTCCAATCGAATTGGTGTTGTTTGGTGTCGATGTGGGTAGCGATTAAGGATTTGGGATTGTGGCGTTTGACTGCTAGCTGGTGTTCATGGATCCTGGTTTTTAATTGATGTGATGTTTGCCCCACATAGAAGTGATTGCAATCATTACAATTGATTTTGTAGATTATATTATTTCTTTAATCTTTGTGTGTTTTGTCTTTGGTTCTGGATAATTCCTGGTGGAATGTTCCATCTTGTTCTTTCCAAAACTCCATCTGCATTTCAACTTCTCTCCTTCCCCTCATGACAGACATTCTCTCTATGTTGAAAAATCTTACCTGTTTTCTCCCAGCAATTTTCCAATCTCAGGTTATCATCTCTAAATGCAGTCTGTATGTTTGGAAAATCACACAATTAAATGGCACAGTGTTTATCTTGTCCCTTCTATCACAGAATTATTACTTTAATTGCTTGGGTTGTAATAATTGGCTTTTCTTCTAGCTAAACCCAATATATTGTGGGATTAGTTTAGTTTCATCCATCACTATCCCTAGAATTTTAGAATATTTGCTGGATGGGCTCGACAAAGGCTTATCGCCAAATACCATCAAAAGGCAAGTAGCAGCCCTGGCTACAGTGCTGTCATGCGACGATGTGAAAGAAACTGTATTTGGAGAGACACTTTCAAAAAGATGTATCCTCTCCTTCCCAGCCTTCGGTGCCTAGATCTTCACTGGAGTAGTGAAGGAGAAGTGGTGTTCTTTTATGGCTGAGGTAACTGGGAAAGGTGTCAGTCATAACTGAATAGGGAGAAACTCCTTTACTGAAAAATGCCCTGTCTTTCTGCACACTGAGTGTCTCACAACTGAAATCCTTTCAAGAGGACATCCCCATTCTACTTGAATTATTGGGCAGCTGGTAAAATATAAGGCAAGACAATAGAGAACAAATAGGGTGTTTTAGTTCCATACCATTGTTATGGATAAGCTAGATTTGCATTTTTTAAAATGGGGAGACATATACAGTTTTTAAATGAATAAATGGCAAGACTAAAATATATAAATAAAAAAAAATATATCCACCTCCTAAGTCATACTGAACTTTGTGGTGTGATAGTACAGATACAAGTGGTTTGGGATTAGAACAATGTGTGAACCTTCTCTAAATATTTATCATTTCAACAATAGTCATATATTTCTGTTAAATAATAAAACATTGATAATACAGTCCATGCAGTAGGTAAGCTTTGCCTAGACCAAGATGGGCAACCTTTGCTCTTTTATGACTCGTGGACTTCAACTTCCAGAATTCCTGAGCCAGCCATGCTGAGGGGAAAGGGAGAGGTTTCCAA